TGAGCGGGGCATGGTGGTACACATCTTTAATCCCAGGCAAAGGTATGCAAATCTCTGTGATATTGAGGCCAGCCTGATCTACATAGAGTTCCAGGCTAGTTGAGGCTACAAGGAAACCTTGTTTCAAAAAGACCAAAAAAATTTTAAAAATAGGGCATTTCTGGGGAAAAGAAATGGCTTTTTCAAAATTAAGATGCTATTCAAATAGTATTAATTACTAAGGAAATTTTTGCAAGCATGACCCATTTCATAAGGAACATTTGAACAAATGTATAATTAAATCACAGTTCTGGAGTAAGTGGTAACATTATTCTTATTTTTCAGTTAAAGAGATTTTGATTTGTCCAGGTTGCCCTGCAGCATGTTATTAGAGGAACCTGAATGTGAACCAAGTCTGCTGACTCAAGATCTCATGCTGTTTCCACTTTAATTGGCAGATGACTGTGTATCATGAATACTGTAGAGGAAATACCCATATGGGGGGAAAAGTTAGTCTTGAATGATTGTCCTCTGATTTTTTTTTGATTTTTAAAAGTATTTTATTTTATTTTTTATGTGTTTGAGTGTACTATCTGCATATATGTAAGTGAACCCATGTCAGGCAATTCCCATGAAGGTCAGAAGAGAGCATGGAATTCCCCTGGAACTGGAGTTAAGGATGGTTGGTAGCTGCTATGTGGGTGCTGGGAATTGAACCCAGGTCCTCTGCAAGAGCAGTTAGTGCTCTTTACCGCTGAGCCATCTCTCCAGCCCCTTTTTTAAAAATATTCGGAACTCATTAACTTGTTTACTGCTTTGGAGATTTTTTTAAATTTTATTTTTGGTGTGTGTGTGTGTACACTGTGTGCAGGTACTGGCAGAAGTCAAAAGAGGATATTAGATCCCCTTGAGCTGGAGTTTCAGGCAGTTGTAAACACCCCCCCCCCCCGCAACACACACACAGATACTGAGACCTCTGCAAAAGAAAGCACTCTTAACTGCTGAGCCATCTCTCCAGCCCCTACTTTGAAGATTTTGACAGCCTGCTTCCTAACTATATATGTTGTCTTTAATTTTTTTTTCATTATTATCCATTATCTGATAGTTTCTAGAAAGTCTTGTTCTGAGGACTGGAGAGACAGCTCAATCAATTAAGTGCTTGAGGCACAAGAATGAGGACTTGAGTTTAATCCCAACACCTACCCACTAAAAAGCCAGGTGTGATAGCATGTGCTTGTAGTCCCAGTGCTGTGGAGGCTGAGATGGGGATTCCTGGTGCTCACTGGTCATCTAGCATAGCCTATTCTGTAAGCCCCAGGTTGCAGTGAGAAGCCCTATCTCAAAACAGCAAGGTGTTCAGCTCCTGAAGAACAACACCCAAGATTTACCCATGGTCTACATACACATGTACATGTGCATCTGCACATATACATGCATACAAATGAAAACAGAAAATCTTGCTATCTCTTTGTGTTCCAGTCATCAGTTCCTAAGTTCCTATCTGCTCTTATGTAATGGCTTCTTCAGCGTCTTCAATGTCCCTTTTATTCTCTTCCTTGACTACTTGTCTCCCAATTCAGTTTTTCATCTGAAGATACACAAAAACTTTTTGTGACATTGGTGACTGTAATATATGACTTGTTTTTCTTTTTAATTCAATTCCGTCATTTTCAACTACATGGACCCTATCTTCATTTGTATTAACTATCAACCTATTTCTAGTTTTTACTTTACCACTAAATCTATGTTCTATGATTTTTAAGTTTATTTTTATTTTTAACTTGGGGGGCAGGGATGTATACCAGTCAGATGCCAACAGAGGCCAGAGGCATGGGATCCCTAGGGAGCTAGAGTTCCAAGCTGCTCCTGATATGAGTGCTAAGAACTGAACTCGGGTTCTCTGCAAGAACAGTCCATGTTCTTAATCCCTGAGATGTCTCTCCATTACCTATGTTCTTGGTATTTTTCTTTCTCTGATTATAGTTTACTCACTTATAAGGCTTCCCATTTCTCTGTATGGTTTTAATATTGCTTCCACTATTGACTATTGCTCTGGTTTATAGCAATATTGAAGAGAAGGTACAGAGACTTCTCAGTTACCACCTGGGTAGCTTCTCTTTACCAACACTACCCAACAGAGTAGTATGTTTGTTACAATTAATAGAACCTTCATTGACATTTTATTATCCAAAGTCTATAGTTTACCTTAGGGTTCACTCCTATGCATTCTGTGTGTTTGAACAAAGGTTTAATAGATTTATCTGCCTGTTACAGTATTGTGCTGGATAGCTTTAGTTGTTAAGTTGACACACCTGGGTAGAGGGAACCTCAGTTGGGGAATTACCTCCACTGTGACCATGTCTGTGGGGCATTTTCTTGATTGTTGGGTGATGTGGGCGGGCTCAGCCCACGGTGAGTGGTACCATTCCTGGGCAGGTGGGCCTGTGTTGTATAAGAAAGCAGGCTGAGCACTAGCGAGGAGAGCAAGCCAGTAAGCAGTGTTCCTCCATGGCCTGTGCTTCCGCTCCTACCTCCGGGTTCCTGTCCTGAGTTCCCTCAGTGATGAACTGTAACCCAGAAGGTGTAAGATAAATAAACCCTTTCATTCCCAAGTTGGAATTGTTCAGACTGTTTTATCACAGCAATTGAAGGCAAACTAGAGCAAGTATTATACAGTTAACACTACTCTAAAAATCTCTACCCTACTCAAACATCCCTCCCTCTCATAACTTCTGGTTAGATACCGATCGTTTTACTGTCTTCATAATTAGCATGAAATCACTTAATTCTGCCGTGTTAGCCTTGTCCACATCCTCTTCCTACACCACTAAGTGAATCAGACCAGTACTTCACTGTTAATGCCTTCACTGTTATACTAGCCTCCCAAATATTTTGTATTTTGGCCAATGAATTACAAGTTGTGTGCCATAGAATATATTGTGATCCTTTAGTGACTCCCAAATACTGAAAAAACACTCCTCAATCTTGAGTCACCAAAGCTCGGGGTTTGGTTTTCCCCACCTATATTCTTTTTATCTAGTGTCAACTACCTTCAAAAGTTGCTTCCCTACCACCTTTTTGGTATATGTATCTTATGCATGTGATCTATACTTTTCTTATTCTCTGTGTCTCTCTTTTTGGTCCCATTGTAGTGTTTGTACCTTAACTGAACACTTAGGTCATTTTGCTATACAGCACAGTTGGATAAAGCCAGCAAAGGGTCCTTGAAAATAGTCACGGCTCATATTCTCTAATTTTAACACAGGCCTTTCTTTTGGGGGGAGCTCAGTAAACTTTAGCAAATTTAATTCCATTGACATTCAAGCCTTAACCAGCTTTTTTAGTCTCTTATCCTATGTGCAGTCCCTCCCCCACTTTAATGTGTTAGAGTAATTGAACACCATTCTCCCTCGATCTTCAGTCATTTTCTTTTGTTCACAGGATAAAATGCATTTGTGTTCTCAGCATTCAGTCGGAGACTCATAAATTAGATCATGTGCCATTGCATCCTTATTCCTTACTATTGCCCTAAAACAAGACTTTATACCAGTCAGGCTGGTCTGTTTTCTAGTCTGTTCTTTTTATTAATTGACTCACCTGGAATGCCCTTACTACCCCTCCTTTCCTAGTTTATGTAAATCCTACCTGACCTTCCAGATGTCTTCGCTAAACATGTATTCTTTCACCATTTACTCAGTTGAGACTATATAACTTGGGATTTTGTCACTTTATGGTTGTTTGGAAATATCGTTTAGCTTTTTACATGAACATGTATTTCTTTGATCACCCTTATTTAATCATTATAATTATTACGATCAACAGCCAGAAATAAACTTTCAACTCTACAATCTATCATTGGTTTTCATTTTTGTTGTGGTTTTTGTTTATATGTTTGTTTAGGACAGTGTCTTTTTCTGTAGTTGAACCTGGTCTTGACAGACTTATTTGACTCAGCCTCCCAAGTGCTGGGATTACAAGTGTGAACCACCGCACAGGGCTTAATTTTCTGTTTGGATGTGGGTAGTTGTCCATTGAGCTTTTCAGATTGTACATCTATAAAGGTAGAAGCCGAAGTAAATTTTCTTGAATGTTTTTGTGTTCTAATAAACAAGAAAAAGGAAAAAATGTTCCCATGCAAATTTTTAAAAATAGTTTAAAATTTTAATGTAAAATATATAGTTTGTTTTACTATGAGAAATGCTCTGATTAAGAAATAAAACAGAGGTGGGATCGGAAAGATGGGTTAGTGGTTAAGAGCACTCGCTGCTCTTACCCAGGACCTGGGTTCAGTTTCTGGCACCTCACAACCTTTTGTAACTCCAGTTCTAGAGGATCCAACGTGTTCTCTGGCCTCCGAAGTTAAGAGGCACACAGGTGGTGCATATACATAACTTGCAGGCAAAACACTCATATACATAAAGTAAAATATAATTTTTTTTTTAAGCAGGGAAGGGAGGGAGGTAAGTCACAATTTAAATAGAGTGTTAGAGCAGCCTCTTGAAGAAGGTGACATTTCAGTAGTGTCCTAGAGGGGGTGGAGAAAGCACTTCAGCCTGCACAGAGGTCTGAGGCTATATGGAATGATTAAAGTAATTGGAGAGATAATTGGGAAGGAAAGGGGTATTAAAGAGCTTTATAAATCCAATTTCTATGGCATATGTTACAAAAATTCTATTTGGTTATTGTAACATAATTATGAAATATCTAGGAATGGGGTACTTTCAACTACATTAATTTCTTTCTTTTTTTTTTTTCCCTTTGGTCATTTTGAGATAGGATCTCCTTGTAGCCCCACCTGGCCTGGAACTCACTGTGAAGACCAGGCTAGCCTTGAACTCCCAGAGATCTGCCTGCCTCTGTCTCCTGAGTGCTGGGATTAAAGGTGTGTGCTACCAAGCCCAGCTACATTTTAAGAATTTCATATTACATTTTATTTTGAAAGGTATTGTAACTCAAGAATATAATACCCTATGTTAATTCTTTTGTTTCAGTTTGTAATTAGAATTTAATTTCTCTTTTTTTAGGTAAATTAACATAATGGATTTCTCCAAGTTGCCCAAAATTCGTGATGAGGACAAAGAAAGCACATTTGGTTTTGTGCATGGGGTCTCAGGACCTGGTAAGTAATACATAATCATTTTAAGAGTAAGGATTCCTAGCGGTGATCAGTGTCTTTTCTAGATACCTCAGGTAGAACACAAGTTCCTGTACCACCCCATAATTTTTTTTTGTCTTTTTATATCTCATAGTGACTTTGAGGGTAAAGTAACGTGCAGCATAAGGACTGTCAAGCACTAGTCAGTTACGTTTATGTATGTGTGTATGAGTGGAAGCCACAAGTGTGAGGTGCCCACAGAGGCCAGAAGAAGATGTCAGATCCCCTGGAGTTGGAGTGTCAGGACATTGTGAGCCTCCTGACATGGGTGCTGGAATCTGAACTCTGATCCTCTGCAACTGCTCTTAACTGCTGAGCTATCTCTACAGCCCCCGTACTATAGTTTTTACTCTGCTCTAATCACAGTGGACGTGATAGCACCTTTTTGGTGTTTATGCAGATGAAGGCAATTAACCGATGTGTTCCATGTTTTCTCTCCAAGAACTAAGTGAGCTTGAGCTCATTGGGAGTTGTAAAGATTATACATTTCACTGTTTTCAATCTCTTTAGTCATCTGAAAAAAACAAGAAAGGTTTCCCCTTGATCATGAGGGTTCTTAGAGACAAACAAATTAAATATAAGTTTTAGGAAAGAAGAGAAAAAGAAAAAGAATATCAAAATTTAGATAAAGCCAGGAGGAGGAGGAAAAAAAAGTTTGAGAATGGCTCAGCAATTAAGAACACTTGCTATTCTTGCACAGGACCTGGGTTCAGTTCTTAGCACCCAAGTGGTAGCTCATAACCACCTGTAACTCCAGTTCCAGGGAATCCAGTGCCCTCTTGTGGCCTCTGTGGGGCACTGCATCCACATAGTGCAGTTAAATACATGCAGGCAAAACAGTCATACTCATAAAATAAAAAATGATAATAAATATTTTTTTAAAGTTTAGGTAAAGCTATTGTGTGGAAATGTGCCTGTGGGACCAATTTTTAGTTCCTAGTTGCTTTCTAACAGAGAAAGAGCAGCATTTAAGACTTATGAAATAGAATTTTAGGAACAGAGAGATGATCTACAGTTAAGAATACTGGCTACTCATGCAGAAGACCCATGTTCGAGTCCCAGCACCCACATGGTGGCTAACAACCGTCTGTAACCCCACTTCCGAGGAATCCGATGCCCTCTTCTGACTTCCACAGGCATTGCATGACATGGGTATACTTAAACACAGTTGGAGAATTTTAACCACACGAGTCATACAAATACAATAAAATTTAAAAAGAAAGAGAATTTAGAAGTCATTATCTGATAAGTAGAAGTAAATATGAAATGAATAAACCTACATTTCTAATGCAGTTTAATTATCAGTAATTTAATAGTTTCCATTGCAGTAATCCTTATCAGGTATTATAATCAGTTATATCACAAGGTAGCTATTAAGAAGGGATTTAATTCGATACATTTCTAAAAATGTAGCATCCTTACCTCCCTTCCAGAGAAGTAGTTGTTTCTTACTAGACAACATGGTCCAAAAGAGTAAGTTCTAATTCTGGATTAGTATTTATAAGAAGCAAGATTCCTTAATTGGGATTTTATATAGTCTTAGTGAATCACTGTAAACATCCTATGGTGTAAGAAAAGAAATTATAAGTGCATGTGTGAGATGTTGCTATTTTTATTTGGGGGGTAGGAGATCCTCATGTAGCCCAGGCTGGCCTCAAATTCACTGTGTAGCCAAGGATGGCCTTGGAATTCTCATCCTTTTGCCCCTACTTACCCAGTGTTAACATTACAGGTGTTTACCAGTATGCCTGGCTATGTGCATTTTTCTCTCCTGGAACTGTCAGTTTGTCAAAGGGTCTACATCCAAGAAGACTTTTTAAAACCACTGATTTAAAGTACTAGAAAGAAAACTGTTGTCTTGTTATCTTTCAAAGGAAATGGTATCACAGAAAACTGGTAATTCTAAAGTTCTTAATTCCAGTTTTAGGAGTTTTTTTGTAATGATTCCAAAACCTGTCATTACATGTATCACAGAACTTCAGTTGTTGAGAATGTACCTCACTAATACTATATAAGAGTTTACATTTACTGGAAATAAGTTTTTATATGAAACTATAAAGGTAATCATGTAATGGAGTTTTATCTCCCGTATGAGTATATGAGAGGGCATGTTCTTGAGCTTATTGGATGCTGAAATTATTTGTAGTTATTTACAGAGCTGTGGATCAAAACAGTATTTTGTTCTCTTCAGTGGTTACAGCCTGTGACATGGCAGGTGCGGCCATGTATGAGCTGGTGAGAGTGGGCCACAGCGAGCTGGTTGGAGAGATTATTCGATTGGAAGGTGACATGGCCACTATTCAAGTGTATGAAGAAACCTGTATCCTTTTCTTTTCAATTTCCTACCACTTTCTGTGTGTCAGACTTAAGGATTTAGCCCACAAAAGTAGAAGCAATAATAATCAGTGATGTCACATGAAATGTACATGTCATGAAGAAGTGTACTGAAGAAAAAGAGGTACTGCAAGTCAGTGCTTTTCTAAGAAACTAGAATTAAGTTCTGAATTTTTGTTGCTCTTAGTGTTTCAGTGTCACAAACTTCAGGAACTCCAATTGGAATTTTCTTTAAAAGGTTGCATATTGTATAAGAAAGGATAAGTAAAATAACAGTATTGACTTGTGTGGTTAAAATTCTCCAGTCATGATTTCTATTTAAAATAATAAATCAGTATAAATCTGTCACCATTCTAAAAGCATACTTGGAGGCAACTGGCTTCCCTATGTAAATCCTGGGTGCTAAGCTAAAGCAGTCATGTTAAGCAGACATTCTAACACTGAGCTATACCCCAATCTATCTTTTACATGGTTTGTAGATTTAAAGTAAATGAAAGTGTATGCCATGACAACACCCTCTACCTTTGTTATCCTCTTTCTGGCCTATCTTCTATATGTCTAGGTTTTTGTTTTGTTTTGCCTTCCTCTTTTTTCAATGTACCAAGTAATGAGCTTCATTAAGGGTTTTATTTTTTTTTTTTTTTTTTTTTTTTTTTTTTGAGACAGGGTCTCCCTGTAGCCTCAACTGACCTGGAACTTGCTATATAGACCAGGATGGCCTTGATCTAGCAGAGATCTACTGCTGGGATTAAAGGCGTGCGCCACCACGCCCAGCTCATTAAGGTATTTTCAGGTGTGTGTGTGTGTGTGTGTATTTATATGTCATTATACTATATTCTGATTTAAATTATATATCTAGACAAATACAAATAAGTGTTCTTCCTTCCCACTGACAATATGACATTATACGCACTGTTCTGTACCAAAATGTTAATGGTATCATCTAGAGAACTAAGGGTATTTTCTGAAAAGTTCTTTGAACTTTGCTGTAGGTTTAAAAGGAATCATAATCAGGGGTTGGAGAGATGACTTAGCAGTTAAAGAGTGCTGGCTACTTTTCCAGAAGACCTGAATTTGGTTCCTAGGACCTACATGGTGACTAACAAACACCTGTAACTCCAGTTTCAAGGGATCTGAATCCTCTTCTGGCCTCCACAGACATTGTATATATGGACGCACTTATATACATGTAGGCAAGACCCTCAGACATGTAAAATAAAAATATAAATAAATTTTTTAAAAATTCACAGTCAGGCCGGGCATTGTGGTACATGCCTTTAATCCCAGCACTCAGGAGGCAGAAGCAGGCCAGCCTGATCTACATAGCGAGTTCCAGGCCAGCTGGGGCTACGGAGAGATTCTGTCTCAAAAAGCCAAAAAAGAAAAAATCTCAGTCAAATATTGAAAATGAAAATGCTTATTTTAGAGACCTTTCTAGGGCAATTTATAGATGTTCTCATTCTTTCTTATAGCTACAAAAACTTAGAAAATGTTATTAAATATTATATTTAAATATTTAGTCTTTTCTGTTATTAACAGTGCTACAATGTAACTGGTTTGAATTCACAGAAGTTGTATTCCTAGGTCAGATGTTACCTATTTTTAATTTTGGTAGATATTCTTGTTAATCTCAACAAATATTTTATTGATTTTTTTTTAATTGTCTTCAAATACCAAAGACAAGGCAGAGTCACTATGCTTATTTGCAAGTTTTACACTTTTTTTTCTTTTTTTCCAAAAGTACTTCCTTTGTTCTCTGTTTTCACTTTCTGCCCAGGTACTACTATCCTGTCCAGTAGTGTATCCAAAAACATGAGTTCATGAGAGCCTTTAGCTCTTACTTTTAAGCCTTTGGTTCCCAAACTATGCAAAGGCACTTTGGGCAACTGTAGCAAACTCAAGAGATGCCCAGGGTGCTTAAAATTATTGAGGTTGGTTCAGGAATAGTAGATACTTCAGAGACTACCTGAACTAGCAGCTTAAGATAACAGCTTCCTAGCCTAGTGTGGTGGAGGGTATGGTAGTGCACACCTTTAATCCCAGCACTTGGGAGGCTGAGGCAGACTTGATCTCTGTGAATTCAAGACCAGCCTGGTCTACACAGTGAGTTCCAAGCCAGCTGGGGCTGCAGGAAGATCCTGTCTCAAAAAGACCAAAAAATAAAAAAATAATAGTTTCCTTATTTGTTGTATTACTCTTGTCAGTGATGTCATCTTTGTGAGGCTGTCATTAAGATGGTTGCCAAGCTATAAAAGCAAGTAAAATAAATATGGAATAGGTTTCCAATCTGACTGAAAATTATACAATATCCAAAAAACATAAATAATCTATTTTTATAAGAACTGTGGTTATCACGGTCTGGAGAGATGGCTCAGCATTTAAGAGCACCAGCTGCTCTGGCAGGGACCCAGTTCAATTCCCAGCATCCACATGGTGGATAACAACCAGCCATAACTCCAGTTCCATTCCAGAGGAATCAACACTGTCTGACCTCCGTGGGCACTGCACAACATGGGTGCACTTACACACATGCAGGCAATACGCTCATACGCTAAAATGATAAAAATAATAAATAAAAATTTTAAATTAAAAATTGTGGTTAAGACTGAAATTAATATTCTTTTTGCTACTCTTTCCATGATACTCATTTTTTAGGCTATATACATGTTGATTAAACCGTTTGGGCATAACTATTTGGTAACTGGAAGTTTTAGGTATGTCTTTTGTCTTTGAACACTGCAGAAATGTTACTGAAATCTTAGTAGGTGCTGAACAAGAACCATGAGAGCTTTTGTTTGCTCTTCTTAGATCTCATCCCTTTTAAACTGATATTCCCTATTAATAATATCAACCTTTTATTTAAGTTTTCCTCAACCACTGTTTCTAGCTGGTGTTTCTGTTGGAGACCCTGTACTCCGCACTGGTAAACCCCTCTCAGTAGAGCTTGGTCCTGGCATCATGGGAGCCATTTTTGATGGTATTCAAAGACCTCTGTCGGATATCAGCAGTCAGACCCAAAGTATCTACATCCCCAGAGGAGTAAATGTGTCTGCCCTTAGCAGAGATATCAAGTGGGATTTTACACCCTGCAAAAACCTACGGGTGTGTCTCTGTTTAATCACGAATTCTTTTCTTTTTTTTTAATATTTTATTATTTTTATTTTATGTGTATGAGTGTATTACCTGCAGGTATGTGAGTGCACCTGTGTCATGGAATGCCATGGAGGTTAGAAGAGAGCATCCGATTCCCCTGGAACTGAAGTTAAGGACAGTTTGTAGCCGCCATGTGGGTGCTGGGAATTGAACCCAAGTCCTCTGCAAGAGCAGTCAGTGTTCTTAACTGCTGAGCCGTCTCTCCAGCCCCTAACCAGGAATTCTTAAAGTTGATGAAAGAATGTGAAATACTATTAGTGAACTGTTCCTTACTCTTAGTCCAAATAAACGTAAACTATGAATGCATAATCTAAAATTGTTAATGCACTGATAAGACTGTAGAAATAATGCATTACTGATAAATTGGGCATATGATTTAAATTATAGCAGCAAAAGGAAGTGTGCTTGATGTATATGTAAGCATTAATGAATGAATGCCTTTATTCCTTAGGTTGGTAGTCATATCACTGGTGGAGATATTTATGGAATTGTCAATGAGAACTCACTCATCAAACACAAAATCATGTTACCCCCACGAAACAGAGGAACTGTAACTTATATTGCACCACCTGGAAATTATGATACCTCCGTAAGTATCATTTGAACTTTACACTATCTAGTAGACCTACTTATATATGCTGGTCACCAAGTTTAGTGTCCTAAGCAGTTGAAGAATTGATATCTAATATGTGGGTTTTGAGTGACACCTACATTACTTATTTATTTTATTTACTTTCTTATTTTTGTAATGCTAGGGATCAAATTCAGCACCTCACACATGCTAGGTAATCACTACACAAAGCTTATATATCCCCAGCCTTATAATTAATTTTTAAGGGTATATTTGTTTTGACCTGGACTGGTGAATATAAGAATATGCACGATACATCATTTTTAAAAAATTTTATTATTTTTATTTTATGTGTATGAGTGTGTTGCCTGCATGTATGTAAGTGCACCTGTGTTATGCAATGTCTGCAGGGGTCAGAAGAGGGCATTGTATTCCCTGGAACTGGAGTTGGAATGGTTGCTAGCTACCATGTGGGTGCTGGGATTTGAACCGGGGTTCCCTGCAACAGTAATCAGTGCTCTTAACCACTGAGCCATCTCTCCAGCCCACATCATTTATTTTTTAAAAAGTATGCTGTTTTCCTACCTTCTTAACTGATGCTATATTTATTTAAATCCCATATTCATTAGATGTAGAATGGGAGAACTTAATTTTAATTGTCAATCAATATTCACACAATTATATAATGGATTATGTGAATTCTTTAGGTGAGTCATCAAAACTTATTCATTTGATTTATAGTTACATGTCAGACATGGTAGACCCATAACAGTCTTTGAGTTCAGAGGTAATTTTATTTAGAAGACTGCTAATAATGTATACTGTCCTCCCTCCAAAATAGAATGTGATACTTTACAAGAATAAGTGTGCTTTATGATATAGAGAACACAAGTTAGGTTGGGTTTCTGGGCAGTCATCTAGACTTATTCACTAGCTTAGAAGCCCACCCATTCTATGAATGCCTGTCCTAGAACACACTGTTCAAATTCATGTATTAACAAAATTACAGATTTCTCTAGGGCCTTGAAATTTGGAGTTATTTGAGAATAATTGAAACTGTCTCAGTGTTAATAAATGCTATTATTATTATATTGCCAATACCTTTTTGTTTATATAAATGCTTAATTTAAATGTTAAGAAAAAATGTTATTACTATTTTAGGGCTCTTAACAAATAGGTATTTTTATTAAAGCACTGTAAGATCATTATAATAAACAAAATAGGATGAAAAGTTAATCTGAAACTTCCACTTTTCCCTAATCCAAGGAATATCTTGTGTGTTCTTTAAGATTCTCCTGTGTTTTGTATATAATTTCCTATATACTCCTTTCTAAAGAATACCTACCAGTTTTTTTTTATTGATCACTAAAGCACAATGCACCTAGTTTAAAAAATTATGACCATATATAAAAACCACAATAAACAGAATATATCTCCCTTCTCGCTTGTATAGCACCATCTTCCTGCCCCCCAAAAGAACCTGGGGTCACTTAAATTTTGGAAGAAGAAACATTCACAAAGTTGACCATCCTTAAAATTCTGCTATTTTTTAGGATGTTGTCCTGGAGCTTGAATTTGAAGGTGTGAAGGAGAAGTTTAGCATGGTCCAAGTGTGGCCCGTGCGGCAGGTGCGGCCTGTCACTGAGAAGCTACCAGCCAATCATCCTTTGCTTACTGGTCAGAGAGTCCTTGATGCTCTTTTTCCGTAAGTTTGACATATGTCCCTGCCTTTGTCTTCAGAGTTACTGTGTGTATATCTTTTCATTATCTTTACAGATACGAGTTTTCTGTAATAATGATGAGTTAATTAAGTCTGGTGCTATTCAAACGTTAAATGGTCACCAAGCGTTAAAGTTTTTTTCCCCACAGACACAAACAGAAAGCATTATTGCTAAAACTTAATGGAAAAAAAAAAATTTTCCAAAATACTATCTGTGACAAAACAATATAACTATTTTCTTAAATTGCCCTAAAAATTAGTAACTTCTATATGATTTAACTTCTAAAATCAGCTGGGCTCTGTGTGCTGCCAGCAGTGTTAGTTTATAGTCTGCTCTTCTCAATTTTCTTTGCTTAGAAACCTTTTATTTTCTCTTTTTAAATGTTAGCCTTCATCATACCATTTAATTTCCAGAAAAGACTGGAGCTCTGAGGCAGAACTGCCTCAAATTCCGACCACCAAACTCAGTTTTTTAAAAAAGCTTGGTTCTAGGGCTCAAGCCCAGTGCCTCACACTGGCTAAGCAGACATTCTACCGCTGGCCTGCCTCCCTCCTCAAGCCTCCCATACCCTCTTATACAATCGCCCACTCTTCAAATTGCTCCTTGGATTGCTCTTACTATTATTTCCTCATTAACATCTCCTTCCCTTGACTTTCTTACTGTTCAGGCTTCCTGTTTTTGTATTCTTCACTATTCAGATTAGACCATAATCTGTCATTCATGTGAGTATTTCCTAGTGGTGTAATAAAACTCAGTGTTCTATATCATTCTTACCTGGCAAAATCCCAACTATGAATCAGTCCAACTGTTTTCCTTCTGCTACCACACATAGGCCACCGAGAAAATCAAGTGATCCATGCAACTTGGTGCCTACCCACACTGCTGTGTAGCATCCTGCCTTTCTCTACTTGTGATTCTCTGCTCTTCTCCTATTTCACACTGCTCCACTTGATTCAAATATTCAACTCCATCCTTCTTCTTCTTCCCCTTTCTCTATAGGAAAACGTGCTAGATCCTTCCCTGAGAAATTAGAGACCATGAAATTTGGAACTCTTTCCATTTCCTTCCACCAGACTCACTTAATGCACGTTTGCATCTACCTGTTCTTTCCTCTCTTGGAGTTTATCCCATCTCTTGGCTGCTCAGGGACCTCTGCCTTTGCCCGAGTACTCCCCCCCTCACACACATACAATAGAAAAACAAACTACATTTTACCCCATTTGTTCCTTTCTACCTGTCACTACTTCTACCTCATCTTATTGGGAAAACCTCTTGAAAGAAATCACAGGTTGCCTCCACTTCCCCTCTCCCACTTGAAGTCACTGTACTCTGTGCTTTGTTTTACCAAACTGTTGTCAGTCACTTTTGTACTTCATCAGTTCAAGAAATAAATTTAGGTGTTTGCAGATGGCGTCACTTGGATCCTGAGCATCTGCGAGTGGTTCCCAAGACAATGGCCAAGAATAAATCAAAAGGGCAGAAGTCCAGGAATGTATTTCATATAGCCAGTCAAAAAAACTTCAAGGCAAAAATCAAAGTGAAAACTACTTACTACTGATCTTAAAAGATAAACATTATGAATGATGAAAAAGTTAACAGAGTGAACAGAGCTTTTGTAAATATACAGAAGGAACTTGCAAACTTTTCAAAAAGCCTTTCTCTTAAACCTGTGCAGAAAGAGCTGGTTTCTCAGCAGCAGCACCATGAAAATGAACCAGCTAATGTTGACGGAACTGCAAGGTTAATGGCATAGTTGTAATAATGTTGTATCAAATTCCCCCAAAGATCAATAAATTAAATATTTTATACAAAAAAAAGAAAGAAATTTAAGTATTTTTAATTCCTTACAGCTTTGAATATTGCTGTCATGAAATACCCTTCCTTTGTTCTTCCTGATAACATCTATCTACAAGTTCTTCTCTGTTATAAACTTTTCCTTAAGTTTTAGTGTTTTTTAAGTTTTGTCTCCTAGAACTACTCAGTGTCCATATCTTAGCTCTTTTTTGGGTGACCTTATTACACTCCTGACTTAAGTATACATGTAATACGATAACTTTTACATTTGTATCTCGATCATAGACCTTGTACGGCTTCAGATTTATTTATTTCTCCATACACACTTTTTTTTGACGACAAGGTATGTTGCCCTGGCTAGCCTGGAATTCACTGGCTTCCAGCCAACAGATCCGCATGCCTCTGCCTCCTGAGCACAGGGATTAAAGGTGTGCACTATCATGCCCAGCTCTAAGTATTTTTATCTCAATCCCTGCTCCTCACTCCCTGACCCTTATTAAGACTGTTACTCTAATTCTTGCCAATGGCATTTCATTAGGCTTCTAGACTGTAGTCCTGCTTTTTTTCTAGTTGGTTTTCCTACTACACAGAATTCTATCAAAAACACATACCTGGCCAAACTGTTTTACTTGAAATCTTTAAGGTATTTGTCATCACTCTCAAAACAAATAAACAGTAGATGGCTCCTTACACAGCCACCCATGATTCGACTATAGCATACTTTCTAAAATTGCCTTAGCCATTTGATGGTCTAACTACTTCATATTTAAGGACTTTCAGTTCCTTAAGCAGGGGTCTCTCTTTACCCTGACTCTTGACATGCTGTTCTTTATGCTTGGATCATTATTTATCTTGATCTGGCTAATTTCTGCTTCTTGGGTCTTGACTATTTTTCAGGAAGGATTTTCTAACCCTACTCATCCTGACAGACTTTATACCCTTTCACAGTTTACTGTGATAACACATCTTATATTGATTATTGAGTTCCCAAATTGGGGTACACCTAGTCCTATCCCCACCCAAAGTTACCTGGGAGACATATACAGAGCTGAAGTTGGGTGTAGTGGCACATGCCTGTCATTCTAGCACTGGGAGGTAGAGGCAGGGGCATCAGGAATTCAGGGACAGCTAGGCCACCTGAGACCCTATATCAAAAAAAGAGAAAAGTAGAGAGAAATGTAACATGGCTTCTTAGTCTATCAAACTAAGGGTTTGAGGGAGAAAATGTTTTATTGCATGAATTTTCAATATAAGAAAAATCTGTCATTATGAAGGATACAATGTTTCTGTGAATTTTTATGATAAAACATAATATTACAAAGACATTTTGCTTAGCATTACATCCCATTTTTCCTGCTAAGACCCTTTAACCTCTCCTCAAACCCCATGCACATGAAGTGATATCCACTTTCTGAAAGTGGATACTAAATGATATCATAATCACCAGTTCATTTCTCATAGAAATCTGAGCTTCATGAGTACTGAAACATTGCTATCTGTTTTGGTTGTTTCTGTTGTTGAGATGGGGTTTCACTATGTAGACTAGGCTGGCCTTGAACTCAGAGATCTGTCACCATGCCCGGGGAGCATTGCTATCGTTTTTGTAGGGGGCAGAGGATTATTGATTTGTTTCCCTTTTTAAAATACTTCTTATCATTGCTGTCTTACTGGAGAGACAGTAAGTAGCCAGTATTTCGAAGCAGTTTTTAGTACCTAGAAAGTACTCAGTAAATAGTACTGATAAGAGAAAAACAACCTAACACCTTAACAAAAGTCTGTTCATTAAACTTTATGGCAAGATATTTATTTTCTAGGCCCAACCCCCAGGAGTCAAGTTTCAGACATTCATATTTTTTTTGGTCTTTTTTAATTCATATATAGTCTTCATGAAGCAATTTATATAAGCATTCAGAATGCCATTAGTACTATTTCATTTTCCTTTTTGCATATCCTTCCTTCCCAGGTACTTTATGGACTATACTTTCACTTTTCAACTATTGTAGGTGATAAATATGATAATAAAACATATTCTAGTTTTTTTAATGTTTTATATATTATTTTTATTTTATGTGTATGAGTATATTGTCTACATGTAGCTTACCTGGAACTGTGTATACCCCAGGCTAGCCTCATGAATGATCCTTACTGCCTCAGCCTTCCAGGTGCTGGGATTATAGGTGCGAGCCACTACATCCATCTTAAAAAAAAAAAAAAAAAAAAAAAAAAAAAAACTATTATAGGCACAAATGAGGGGGCAATTACTATGTCTGTATATATGTATATATAAAAATCTTTCAGGGTACTATCTTTGTTTGTGTCACTTACCTATTTTATATAGAGGTATTTTTTACCAAACAGAGTAATCTGCATTTATTTTAATGTTTGTTTGTTAGGTGTGTTCAGGGAGGAACTACTGCTATTCCAGGTGCTTTTGGCTGTGGAAAAACAGTGATATCACAGTCTCTGTCCAAGTATTCCAACAGTGATGTGATCATCTATGTAGGATGTGGTGAAAGAGGAAATGAGATGTCTGAAGTTCTCCGGGACTTCCCAGAGGTCTGTATATAGAAAGCTTCAAATAATCTTCTAGAGAAAATACTGCATGTCAGCTTTCAGCAGTGATGGAATACAGTTTTATGTTGGGTCTAGAATGGTGCTCCTGTTTGTCACGGGCCTGTCAAAGAAATTAATAAATTTAATATTTGTGATTCATTCATATATTTAAGAAAAGGAATTTGAATTCTTCAAAGTCAAACACTAGAAGGTTTTCCATTGTAGTCTTGGTTCTCACATCTTGAGAAAAAGGATAAAACAATAGAGCATTTATGTTTAGCTGAGTGTAGTGGCACATTCATGTTATCCCTATGCATGGGAGACAGAGACAGGAGAAAAAGGTGTTCAAAGCCATCCTCAGCTACATAGCAAGTTCAAGGCCACCCTGTACTTCATGAGACAGTGTCTCAAAAAAAAACCCCAAGAAACCAAAGCATATGTGGTATGTGTAAGCTTTACATGGGCTTCGTGATCCATGTTACTGTAGTAATACCTTTTTTTCCATAAGTAATAGATTTTGTTTATGAAATGGAAATATTTTGTAGCACAGCACTGTAACAGGGAAGGGAGGTTGAAGTGATGGAATATTAGAGAATTCTGATTAAAAGGATTAAATATGCATAAGTTGTAAATTTTTTAAAAGTAGGAGGAAGGGGCTGGAGAGATGGCTCAGTAGTTAAAAACACTGACTATTCTTGCAGAAGACCCGTGTTCGAATCCCAGTACCCACATGGCAGCTAACAACAGTCCGTAACTCCAGTTCCAGGGGATCCGACAGTCTGTTCTGGCCTCCATGGGCATTACATGACACTGGTGCACTTACCTACATGCAGGCAATACACACATACACATAAAATAAAAATAATAAATAAAATATTTTTTTAAAAAACAATTTTAAAAAAAAGTAGGAGGAAGGACTTAAATGTTAAAATGTTATGATCAGGGGCTAGAGAGATGCTCAGTGGTTAAGAGCACTGGCTGCTCTTGCAGAGGACCCTGGTTCAATTCACAGCACCCACATGATGGCTAACAACCATCTGTCACTCCAGTTCCAGGGGATCCGACACCCTCTTCTGACCTCCGTAGACACTGCACAATACAGGTGCACCTGCCTACATGTAGGCAATACACCCATACACATTAAATAAAAATAAATAAAATATTTTTTAAAGTTATGATTAAAACTTGTAGGATTATTAATGTATTTTTTTACCTTTAGCTCACTATGGAAGTTGATGGTAAGGTAGAGTCAATCATGAAGAGGACAGCGTTGGTAGCCAATACCTCCAATATGCCTGTTGCTGCAAGAGAAGCCTCCATTTATACTGGTGAGTTCAGAATTAGAATAAAAGCAATTAACATCTGCCCCAAATTTAACACTAGAATCAAATTTTTCCCTTCCCAAAGAACTTCATTCTAAAGTACTTCCATATAATCATATTCCTAGCTTTTTAGAAATATTTAACGTATGAGGGCTGGAGAGATGACTCGGGTTAAGAGCATTGGCTGCTCTTAGAGAGGACTTGGGTTCGATTCCCAGCACCCACATGGCAACTAACAACCATTTATAACTCCAGTTCCAGAGCATCCAACACTCTCTTCTGACCTCCACAGGCATTGCATGACACAAACATAGAGGGGTACGCTTAAATACATGTAGGCAATACACTCACACACATAAAATAAAAATAAATAAAATATTTTAAAACGAAATATTTAACTTGTTTTACATATATATGTATATCTTGAGAATAAATGAATGTATTTATAGAGTTGCCCCATATGTCATCATTGTCCTCCCCTCCTCGCCTTGCCTGTCCTCCCCTTCCTCCTTTCTCCCTTCTGTTGTCTTTCCTCCTCCCTCCTTCCCTCCTCCTTCCCCTGTTCTTCCCCTCTTGGTTTTGTTCAGCATATCCAGGACCTTGCATGTACTAGGCAAACACTCTGTTGCTCTGTATTTAAATGTACTTATCCCTCTATAATTTGATGTATCAGCCTTAAATTACTGTATTTTTAGGGGATATAGAAGATTAAAAAGTTGGTATATTTCTGCACTAACCTTAGGTCATCTTTACTCCTATCTACCCTAGCTTTTAGTACTTTTATTTCTCCATTTTCAGGAATTATTGGGTTTATATTTTACTCTAGAACAATAGATCCAGTATTGAATTTAGACTTTGACCTGTAGTAAATGGAGCCAGTGCTCATTAGTCATTCTTTGGCTAGTTTCTCCATTTATTTCTTGTTTGACTGAACTTGTCTTTTGGAAGTTTCTGCCAGAAAAAAAAAGCTCATGAAAACTGCTCTTTGAATTCTTCTTCCTTCATATCTTTTTTTCTCTTTTCTGCTGTTTTTAAACTTTTACCAGTTTTCTAAATATAAAATTCTTGAATCAATATTTCTTATGGCCTGGTGGTTTTTACTAATATATGTTGGCTTTCACAGACTTCATGATTTATGATCTACATTACTAAGGTTTTCCTTTTAAATCACTGTGGGCACACTTGTCATCTCTCCTTGGCAGGTTCTTTTGCCATCACTGTACTTCCTTCTATATTGGTTTTCTTGTTTGATCTTTATTTAAGTATCCTGTATTTATTACTGTTACTCATCTTTGTAGAAGATGGGAGGGGTTGGCTATGACTGGTGCAGGGGAATAGGCGCTCTTTATGGTAACATGCAATTATATAATTGACTCTTTAGTTCTCTCCTATAAACAGAAGACCATTCACAATGAATTCTTTCTCTACCTGCCTCACCCACTTTTTCGTATTGGAGATAGTAAGTGCCTGCATGTACTGTGTTTACCTCCATCTTTCTTCCTCTTTCCATGCCAAACTGGGCCCAAGGAATTCCTGCCACTAGCCAATTAGCACTTTGCAGTGTTCCAAACAAAGGATTCTTGGCTTTGCTTCTTCGCATGTGTCTCCTAGGATTATTTGAGTTATATAGCCTTAGGTGAATTCTGGGTGCTTCCTCACACTCTGGTTAGTTTTCACATATTTAGATTGTATTCTACATTATTTAAATTTTTTTGATTTGTTGATTTTTTTTTATTTTAATTAAAAGAAGCATTTCATTACAACAGCATTAACCTATTCAATAACATTTTTCTGAGCTAGGGTACATCTCTTTCAAAATTGGCTGTACATTTCTAGGTTTACAGATGAATTATTACCCTTATATAATCTTTTACTCATTATAAACTCTATAAGACATAAAAGATCAGTTAGTGGGGCTAGCAGGATGACTCAGCAGTAAAGATACCTGCTACCATGCCTGATGACCTGAGTTCTATCCCCAGGACCCATGTGGTAGAAGAAGAGAATCAGCTCTCACAAGTTGTCCTCTAACTCCACACGTGGGCCATGACACGGGCACATACACATACACACACAC